GACATAACGGAGTTTGGCATAAAATCTACAATTTTATTATATGGATATTATAATAGGTGAGGGCTATTGCCACTGGATTTGATGGTGCCAGATATGTGTGAGCAACACGATAACAGTTTGGTGAACAATCTGAGCCAGCATATGGAACAATCTGTTAACAAATGAGAACAGCTGTCGGTGGGTGACATCAAAACTGCCACCCTCTTCACTGATAAGAAAGGTAAAGAAAGTGCAGAGCTTGACTGACTGGGATATTTCACATCCAGCTGTGACAGTTTGTACATGCAGCATCCCATAGTAGATTATATCATTGTAAACTTATGTTTAAAGGGACTTCACTGACTATTGCAAAAGAAAAATGCTCTTTCTTCTCTGAAACACCTCCCATCCTCCTTTAAAGACAAATGCAATTATGCTTAATGGTGTGTGTGTATGTGTGTGTGTGTGTGTGTGTGAGAGAGAGAGAGAGAGAGAGAGAGAGAGAGAGTGGTTTGGCAAACCACTCTCTGAAACACCTTCCCTTTCTTGGAATGCCACTCCAATGATGTTTATGGCTCTCTGAAATGCCTCCTCCCTTCTTAAAGCAGCTTGCCTGGGCCACCTGTTCTACTCACCTGCCTGCTTGCCTGCTGTTCTATCATCACACTGGAGTTGCCAGGGCTACTTATTGGCAGACATGCAAACAACAGCATGATGACAATCTTACAATTTTATTATATAGTAATCTGCATGAAGTGGGTTATTTAAAGCTTATGCCATAATAAATCAGCTAATCTTTCCCACGTCAAGTGTTTTTGTTGTTTTTTGCTGCAATATTCTAACATGGCTACCCCTCTGAAATATAAAGGGGGGAATATAGCAGTGATCTTTGGTCACTATATCTGCAGTCAAGAAGGCATTTTCTCATTGTAGCTAGTGACTTATAGGGTGGAGCAAGGAAGTATTATTCCCTTGACTGTGTGATTTGACACTTTCCTCGAATCTTCTAGATTGATTTATTAGTCATTGATGCAAACCTTAATGATTTCAGTAAATGGGAGATTTTGCATTGATTCGATTGCAATGTAGACTGCAGTGAAGATGCACTGAATCTTGCAAACTTTTTTCTGCTATGAAGCACTTTGTCCTCTCTCTTTGCCTGAAAGCAGGTCTGGTGAAATTCTGGCCTTCCAGATGTTGCTGGACTAAAACTTCCATCACCTTGACCTTGTCAATACACTGCTGTCTGGGATTGATGGGAATTAAGAGTCTGACAAAATCTGGAAGGCTATAGGCTCCCCTGTCCCTGCTTTACTGCGTATTTGTCTGGATATTGGCACAAAACAGCTACAAAAATATCTGCATACAAAAACAGGCTGATATATGTACAATCCTGACAGAGGAGGGAACTGGAAAGGGTGGACTTCAGGTTCTTGCAGGCTTTGAATTCTAAATTTTAACAATGAACTCATTTCATACAGGCTTCAATATAACAATCAAGTCTGTCTCTTCTGAAGGTAGAACTGATTAGCAGATTGTACCGTAATCCAAAGTGTTTTTTTATTATTTTCTTCCCCATGTACATTTTGCTTTTTTAAAAGAAACAGTTTTTATGATGGCTTTGTACTTTTATTTTATTTTTTTTACAGTCCGCTGCTGTCCTCCCTCCATCATACAAGTAGCAGGCATAATCAATGGTTTTAAATACAGGTGGAACAATTAGACAGAAACGACAATTGTATCCTCTATGTACAATGGTCTATTTAAACATCCTTTGTTCATCTAATGATCACTATTCACTATGGGACAAAAGATAGCAAGTGCACATCCCCCCCCACAACTTCCAACTGTATCCCACACTTTCTCTTTTATACCACCAGCTTGAATGAAAAATTAACTGCAGCAAAAAGCAGAGGACAGATGGACTATCCAAGGCTAAAGAGGTGCTGGTGGAATGGTTAGCATGACAAGAAGCAACAAGCCCCAATTATAGATGAACAAACAGTCAAGTAGAGATAGATTATTTAAAGCATACCTTGCTTTGACATTCTTCTCTCTCTCTCTCTCTCTCTCTCTCTCTCTCTCTCTCTCTCTTCCTCCCTCCCTCCCCTCCCCTCTCTCACACCTTTCATGAGGAATGGAATGCAAATTTATGCACATCTGAATTTTATGGTACAGGTTTGGACCCTCAAAAGTGCACAGTGAGTGGCGGAGGAAGGGGGTGGGGCGGGCGGTTCGCCCCAGGTGCCATCTCTAAGGCGGGTGACAAGAAGACACCCCATGGGGGGCTCGCCCCACCGCCATTGCGCCGCCGCAGCCACATGCGGAGGATCCCACTGCCGCCCATATGGTGCTCTAGCGGTGCTGTCGGCAAACTGCCCCATGGTGCATTTGCACCGCCGCCACGTTCTGCGCATGCGCCATATGTAGCGCCGCCACGCATATGCTGTACATATGGCGCACACACATGAGCCTCCAGGTGGTTTGCCCCCACCCTCGACACCCTGCACTGGGGGGCGGTTAGGCTTCCTTCGCCCCTGCACAGAGTACATAGGACTGTACGCAAGGACTTGCGCTGGCAAGAGAGTTCTAAGGTGGCACAACAGAAGAATCCATCACCACATACGTTCTTGCATAAACTCATTGTGCACCAGATCGTGCAATCCAATGTGCAAGAAAGCTACCAGCAACCTGCTTATGCATTCTCTTGTGCAACAACGTTGTGAAAAACATTTTGCTAGTAGAACAATGGTAATGCCCCACTCTTTCTAAGCACCGGGCTGCTCTTTCCTGGTCTGTGCCTGAGCATTTTATTTATTTATTTTGCCCCACTACTTTACCCAGGAAAACCCACTCTTTAATGCTGAACTGGAACAAATGGCAAATTGAGTTTCTCCCAGAATCATATTCAGTGGTAAAGGGCAGCTTTTTTTGAGGGGAAAGAGCCAGGGCATAAACCCCCCCCCAAAAAAAAACAAAAAAAAAAACCCCTCAGATAACACAGAGCTTTAAAGTGTGGACCTGTGCTTTGAAACAAAACACAAAATGAAGTCTGGATGAGCCCTGGGTACTACATTAGATACAACCCATATTTTATGTAAAAAAAACAAAAACAAAAACCACCCGCATACAAAAATGCAGTTTCCTGAGTAGTTTAACATTCCATTTCTCTTCTCAGAGAACTCTAATTTGTTGCTCTTGGGGGGTGGGGTGGAATATAGGTCTTGTAACAACTCTCCACACCCTTAACAAGCTACCACTTCCAGAATTCTCTGGGGGAAGCCATGACTGTTTAAAGTGGTATGATACTGCTTTAAATCTATCGTATGAATGTGGTCATAGAGAGTTTAAGTGGTTCAGGGGAGAGACATACCTGGCTTTAGGGTGGTGGCAGGGGTGGAACCAAGAAATTCAATTTTTCCCATCCCTACAGCAAGGAGGGGCAGAGTGAGGCTTATTAAAGTTTCCATTTCCAAATGTCCCATTTAAAAAAAACTAAATAACAGAGTGCCTCTGAACACATCCCAAACACATCTGTTTCCAGCATCAGTATGGGAACTGACCTCCTGATCCCTCACACAAAAGACTTCAACTGTTTAGCTTTCTTCATTCCAGTGGCCTAATGCATACCCTCCAACATTTCTCCAATGAAAATAGGGACGTCCCATTCCATAACGATAATTTTGCTATTTATACCCGACACATCTTACATGGTTGTCCCAACCACTCCAGGAGGCTTTCAACATATATAAAAACATAACAAAACAGTAAACATTAAAAAAAACTTCCCTATACAGGATTCCCTTCTGACTGCACAGGGGTAGGATAACTCCATACCCTCTAACATTTCACCAATGAAAAGAGGGATACCTATTTTGTGGGGCATTCTGGGATCAAATCAGAAACCAGAATGGGTTCTTTAAATCAGGGATGTCCCTGGAAAATAGGGACACTTAGAGGGTCTGCTAATTTAGGTGGAGAAAAGTCATTTTGTTTTCATTATTGCTAACCAACAGAGAGTCAGAAACCTTTGTTGGATCTACTGCAAATTACCCATATCTACGAGTAGATTAAGGGACATGGGTGGCACTGTGGGTTAAACCACAGAGCCTAGGACTTGCCGATCAGAAGGTCGGCAGTTCGAATCCCCATGATGAGGTGAGCTCCCGTTGTTCAGTCCCAGCTCCTGCCCACCTAGCAGTTAGAAAGCACATCAAAGTGCAAGTAGATAAATAGGTACCGCTCCAGCGGGAAGGTAAATGGCGTTTACGTGCACTGCTCTGGTTCACCAGAAGCGGCTTAGTTATGCTGGCCACATGACCCGGAAGCTGTACGCCAGCTCCCTTGCTCCCGCTGCAACCCCAGAGTCGGCCATGACTGGACCTAAAGGTCAGGGGTACCTTTACCTTTACCAGTAGATTCCCACCTTCTATCTGCCAATCAATCTGCTGTACATAATACTGTTAACCCTGTAACCCCAAGTGATGCTTATGTTCAGTGAACACATTTGGAGATACATAATCTCAGTGCTGCTTCTTACTGGCCAAAGGCTCACTTCTAAATTCTCTGAGCAGCACACACACACACACACACACACACACACACACGTACACCATCAACTTGTCAGATGCAGTGTTGCCATTTTCTAATTTAAGAAATGTCATATTGAGGTGATCTTGATGCTGTGTTTCCCGGAATGAACGAAGTAGGAATTAATCTCTGGTTGCCTTCAAATGCAACAACTGCAGTCCAGGGTGTGTGTGTGTGTCTCCCCTCCACCCTACCCCCAGTCCAATTGCTGAATACAATTTTAGGTCCGAAAGAGGTTGTTTCCGACTGATGATGTGAATGAACCAATATCCATTGAAGCCCAAGAAGCAACTGAAGGCATACAAACTGCACTTGAGAATTTTATTAATGTAAAGAGTGAAATAACAAGACAAGAAGGAGGATGAAAACAGAAATCATTTTAATTCAAACTTAAGTGGCTTTTAATGAAAGGGCTAGTGCTGTGCTGTTCTTTATTGCAATTATGGGTAGGTTTTTAATAGCTTTATATATAAATACAAAAAGCTATTAAAAACCTACACATAATTGCAATAAAGAACAGCACAGCAGTAGCCCTTTCATTTTAAGTTTTAAGTCTATTCATTTTTGTTTTCTTATGATTGTTCACCTCCCTTTATCTCTTTAGCTCTTCCTATTTTATCTGTAAGCCACCTTGAGTCCCTGTCAGGGAAAATGGGGGAGAATAAATAAATATGACATCATCATCATCATCATGAGTCTAAGGAATGGTCATGATTGTGAAACAATCTCCCCCCCCCCAAATGTTATTACTGTGGTGTCGTATACCTGGTCCTGAGCTCACTTTTGTCAAAGGTGAAGGATGCTATCCCTCAGCTCTTACCTGGCTGAGAAAGCAAGCCCCCAGGCTCATAACAGTTCCTGGGGGAAACTCTGCCCTGTCACTCTGAGGCAGAGGTGGGGCGCCTGAGGCCCAAGGGCAAAATGCAACCCTTTATTCTTTTTCTGGACTTTGGGACTTTTCTCAGTCCATCTACTCTCTTCTCAGTCCATCCACCCTCTTCTCAGGCCACTACCCCCTCTTTCCTCAGGCCACCCCATTCACTGGCTCTTTGTATGTGTTTTTCCTGGATGGAAAGTATCCTTGAATTATGATTATTACTCTTGCTTGGCTGCATACAGGATAGGGATGAATGTGTGAGTATGTATGCAGAATCATAGAATCATAGAGTTGTAGAGTTGGGAGCAACCCTGAGGGCCATATTGTCCAACTTCCTCCAATGCAGGAATCTCAACTAAAGCATCAATGACAGGTGGCCATCCAACTTCGGCAGAAGCTAATGTCTTGTACAAATGTGACATTTGCATTAATTTATCCACCCACTTTTACATCTGGCCCCACTCAACATTAGTATGAGTTATCTAAAAGAGAGTGTAGTCCTTGAACTGAGAAAATTGGCCCACTCTTACTCTACAGCAGTGCTTCCCAGACTTAGGTCTCCAGCTGTTTTTGGACTACAGGGCCCATCATCTCTGACAAATGGTCCTGCTAACTAGGGATGATGGGAATTGTAGTCCAAAAACAGCTGGAGACCCAAGTTTGGGAAGCACTTCCCTACAGCAACAGTTTCACACTGAGGGGAGAGCATAGGGTGGCCAGGTGTCCTACTTTATAGAAGACAAATCTCCACTTGAAGAACTGTCTGGGCCAGGTCCAGAGCAAAATCAAAACCTGTGGCCTATCACTCAAGTTGCTGCTTATGCTCCCATAATTGGAAGCATTCCGGACAATCAAGTGCAGAATCCTAGAGACTACATTCCAAACCCTTTGCAGTGCAGCCAATAAAACCTGTTCCCCATTGGGGTTGGGAATTCCACCCTTGTGTGGCCAGGACACTCCCTAATTACACCAGCTTTACGATCCGCACCTACACAGAGCAAAACTTAACGTCTTGCTATCTGCAGTTTTGCAAGGTAGATTCTTCAAAATCCCCTACTCTGAAAGATACTGCCCTTGTGACACAAAACAGGTTGAATCCATCACACACGTTTTATTTTATTGCCCTTTTATGCAAAAATATATGGTAAGTATTTGGACTCCTTTTTGAAGGAGGGGATTTATCGCACTGACTCTTCCAGGGTGTCTTATCTGCTCAACAATTGTAGTAATGATGTTGTGGCAACATTTTTGAGTGACGCTATCAAAGTACATCACCATAGGTCCTAAGAGCCATTTTCATACCTCACGATGTCTCGACAGTTTCATCCTAAAGTATCTCCTACTATGTTTTGTTAACTGCCTTGTGTACTGATCCACGTATACAATCCACTTTTTCTATGCCAATAAAGGAGATTGATTGATTGAAGTTGGAGGTTGAAAATTCATCTTGGTACATTTCCATGGCCCACCTTACTGTAAGGACAAAACATAAGAAAATGTAGGAGTCGTGCTGGATCAGGCCCATTTTGTATACCATCAGGTTATCACAGTGACCAACCAGATGCCCATGGGACCTGCAGACAGAGCATGAATGCAACTATTCCCTCTGCACATGTGAGTCCCAACAACTGGTATTCAGAACAATGCTGCCTCCAACAGTGGAGACAGAACATAGTCATTATTGCTAGTAGCCATGGATCACCTTATCCAGTATGAAATAGTTTTTATCCTCCTTGAATGATAACACTCAGGTCACTCAAATTTCAATTAGTAATTTATTCGGGGGGGGGGGCTTTATTTATTTATCTTTTTAGTTGTCCTGACATGTAACAGACACAAATAATGTTCAAAGCTGCTGGTAGTTGACAGCAAACACGGTAACTCTCAATGTGGGGCATCATTGCGGAAGCCTAATTATTACAAAAGGCTTTAGAGCCTGAGGTAGAAAAGGCCAGCTTTCCGATGTGAGGCCTTTTGTCAACAGCCTGCAGCCTCAAACCTGCTTGGTGCTGAGGCACAAGCATTGTTTTCAACAGGTTGCTAAAAGATTCACAGCTGCAGGTTGAAAGGGAGCCAAGAGAAGCTTGCCACTGCGAAATCTTGCATTTGCAACTCTTCCTGTTTGAACGCAGCAAACTTTACCAATGCAAGGTGTGCTAGTTGCTACACACTCTGACACACCCCTCTCGAACAAAGAACATCATCAGAGTTCCATGACACATTCCAGCCATGCCAAAATTTCTTAAGGTGGGTGCTTGGAAAGAAGGGCTGTGGCATTAGTCACAGGGGCTAGGCTGAGAGGCCTGGAGGGTCACATCTGGCAACCAAAGATGGAGGGCAACCAAGATTATCAAGGGTCTGGAAACCAAGCCTTATGAGGAGCAGTTGAAGGAGCTGGGTATGTTTAGACTGGGAAACAGGAGACTGAGAGGATAGCCTTTTCCAAATATCTCAAGGGCTGTCACATGGTAGATGGAACATCCTTGTTTTCTCCTGTTCTGGTGTGTAGGACTCAAACTAATGGATCCAAGTTACAAGAAAGGAGATTCCAACTAAACATATAGAAAAACTTTCTGACAGTAAGAGTTGTTTGACAGAGGAACAGTCTCCCTCCGGAGGTTGTGGACTCTTCTTCCTAGGAGGTCTTTAAACAGAGGTTGGATGGCCATCTGTCATGGATGCTTTAGTTGAGATTCCTGCATTGCAGGGGGTTGGACTACTAGATGATGCTTGTGGTCCCTTTCAACTCTACAATTCTATGATTCTAAGAAGAATGGAGAAAGTGCTGCTGCATTCATGTCCTGTTTGTGAGCACAATTGGGCACTATGAAAATGAAATGCTGGACTAGATGGGTCTTTGGTCTGATCCAGCAGACCAAACAATGTTTTTGTTTTTAATGCAAGATAATGGAGGTTTTCTGAAAAGGACATCTTTAAAGCTTTTCCTTTTCCAGTGCTGGAATACAAGGCACTTACATTCACATCGTATACTAAGTGAAATCCTGCTTGTCTTGACTGCAATATTAAAGTGTTTATTTCTCTATACATATGCCCATGCACCCTGAACAGGCCCATATGCTTCTACCTAATAGCAACCTATGTAGCTAGGTGCAGCTGTACATATTATTCCAGCTCTCTTACACACAAACACACACAAGCTTAATAATAGCAATAAGATGCTGCAGGCAACTTATCTCTGTGGATTTTTCTTTCCCACTCAGTTGGTGGAAGTCACTCAGCTGTCAGAATAATTCACTTAATATTGTCAGATATGTGTTTAAGACACCCTCCCGGTGAGTTTGAGCCTGAACATGGAAAAGGGCTAATGCAAATTGGATGCCAGCAGAATCAAGATTTCTGGGCAGAAGGCTTGGTGTTTGTGTGGGACATCCCCAAGGGCTTGTTAGCGCGGGGGGGGGGGGATGACATGATCAGAGTGATGCTGGTGTAGACTTTCGCCTGACTAATTGGGATGGGAGCCACGTTACCAGGCTGGGTGTGGAGCTGGAACATTGGTATGTAGCAGACATGCTACAGTTTTGTGTAGGCTGTGTTATGCTTATCGCTGCCAGTCCTCTGGAGATGCGGTGCTGTTTGCTGTTTCTGGTTACTAAGCGTGGTCAAACTGTTTATTTGCTAACAATAATTGTGGTGACTTTTGTCCCTGCTTTGCTTTGCAGATTATTTACAGATCTACTGATGTTCCTTCATTTACCAACCAGTTTGGGCATATAATTAGCAGCTCTTTGGGTGGCCCAGGAAAAGTTTCTCTAGACCACAGGGTGACAAGGTCCCTGCACATATGCCTTGAATTAACAACTTCTCACTCATTTCAACATGCTGAATGGTTGACACAAGCTCATTAGCAGAGTTACAGACTGATTTATTGCCTTTTTTTAAGATTCTGCAAGCTAGAGAGAGCCAATTTCTGAAAAAATTCTGCAAATGGAATACCTATGGAGAATGGGGATGACTGGATGTCAGAAGCATTGTGGAAACATGGCAGCTCAGTTGGAGGGTGGAATGTTGCAGTAGCATGTTCCCATTTTGCTTCAGGTAGTGAAACGGGACATCCTGCTCCTGCATATACAATTACACTTTACACACAAGTAATGCATACATTAAGGCATTATGGGAAGCATGGGTCTGTGGGGAGCAGTGCAAGGCATTTCTCCACAGCTCTTGGCAGGCTGCACTTCCTGACAATAAATAAGGTAATAGGGTAAGTGGAAACCCCTTCCAAAATTTCAAAGGAATTTCTCTCCCACTGCTGGCAAAGAAAGTATCAGAAAACAGAGCTACTGTTTTAGTGAAAAAATAATATTTGGGGGATATGCGGTGGGATGAATATATCCAAACCTTTTTTCCCTTTCTTTTAAATACATGTACATAAAGTAAAATCTAAAAATGCCCCTAAATGTTTTAGGTCTTTCATTGTGGGGAAGCTGTCCCAACTCCTTCATCACTGCAAATTCCTGTCCTGTGATCTTTGAGCTATTGTTAGCCCCACCTCCCATGTCACAATAGTATCCCCACCCCTGGCACGACAGATTTCACAGCTCTGCAATATGCTGAAACCCCAAATTGTTGCTTGCACAGTTTGATTACAAGACTCTGCTGGATGGATCCTTCACT